GTGTGTGTGTGTGTGTGTGTGTGTGTGTGTGTGTGTGTGTGTGTGTGGGTGTGTGTGTCTGTGTGTGAAAGAAGGCGAGAGAAAGGCAGAGCAAGAAGCTACGTGGGTGTTTCTCTGCTCGGGAGTTGTTCAAACTCTGAGTTAGCTTCATGCTTTAAGTTTAGGGTGGGTTTCTTCTCGGGTGTTTGTGTGTCATGGACCCTTCTTAACGGTAAACCAGTTTTTGTGTCATCATTTGTACCAAGTGTGTTTTAATGTCTTGCTATTGTGCGTGTGTGTGTGTGTCATGTTTCAGAAACCGATGACTATGCAGAGATAGTTGATGAAGAGGACACCTACACCATGCCCTCAAGTAAGTCACTTATTCAGTTTGCTCTCTTTCTAAACTCATTTGTACTTAAGGACTCTTAAGAACTCAGCTTCTGTTGCACTGGCACACGGCGGCTATAAATTTCTCGTACTCAAACAAACGTTAATTTCATTCTGCTCCCTAATAAGCGAGGTTGTGGTGTGAATCGCTTCCAAGAAACACACTCGCACAACGAACCCGAGGAGTTGCATTAAACCGCGTTTGGTTAGGCAGCAGCTATCAAATTCTGGCCGGTTTTCCTTCATCCTTTCTAAACAGCAGAGACGCTAGAGGCCGCAGCTTGTGCCATGTACGTGTGGTCATGGAGACGCATCACATCTGTCGGATTCATTCATGCGTTTGTCAAAAGCCTGAATGTGCTGGTTTGTTTGGCTGTAGTTCTGTAAGTAGTCGTGGCTTTAGCTCCATTATTTTTAATGTGGATGTTTTGGCCAGTTCAGAGTACTTATGTGTTTGATTGTGCGGCCAACTTTGAAAATGGACTGTTCTCTTTCCCCCCACAGTCTTTTTCTATCTGTCTCTGTCTTGGCTCTTTCTTTTTTTCTTTGTCCTTTTTTTTTTTTTGCTTTGCTTTGCTTTTTTTGGTCTCCTTTAGGAGACTTCCTCTAATCAGACTCACTGCAGACATATTTTCCTATCCTGTGTCTGACTTTGTATGTGTGTCCATGTCCTACCGGCTGCTGAATGTATAAAATAAATCTGTAAAACGGTAACAGCTGGAGAGCAAGCTTAGATCTTTGAATTATTCTGTGGCGGTATCGACAATTATCAGATAATGAGCAAAGTCGGCCAGTTATTGTTGTCTGCGCACGTTTGTGTGTTTGTTTTCTGAGCTAGTTTCAATCTTAAAGCTGCTGCCTGGCTCTCCCCCCGTCTCTTCATCTCCATCTCTTTCTCTCTTCCTCTTTCCCCCCCCATCGCCAACACAGTGAGCTATGGAGTAGTTGAAGGTAAAACTCCCTCTCTCTCTTTCATTCTCTCTCGTTATTTTTCTTTTCCAGGAATCGTAGTTTTTTACATCGTAGTGTTTTTGACCATGACCTCCAGTAAGCGCATTGAAAAGCCAGTAATGAATAAGCATTAGCTGTTTATTTGATCTTTAACACCTGGAAAAGAAAAAAAAAGACTTAAATTGTTGTTGAGTTTTGTTTTGGCTTTTTCTTTTCTTTTCTTACTCAGTGGTATTTTTTATCTTGTAGATCGCAGCTCGTAAAGGTGAACTCGGGCGTCGGAACTGAGCGAGAGCCAATCCATAAACAAATCATTATGCTTCAGTACATATAACACTTTGTACTGAAGTACACTAATAAGTCAATCAGAACTTGGGAACATGAAGTAAAGGCAGACCTCTGGAACAACCTAACAGCATTTGTTGTGTTTTGGCTTGGCTCTCCTTGCACCATCCTGCTGTTATCGTGTCTTTACTACTTTTTTAAATTTGTTTCTTTTTAAATTGTGTTTTGTGGTTATGGTTCTTTCACAACTTCTTTTATGTTTGAAGAAATTATTAATTTCCTGAAAGTGAATATCAGTGTGGTTTTAATTACAGTAAATCCTTCATAATGGAATGTGTGTTTGGTTACTGCTGAACTGGTTTTGTTTGGGTTGGTTGAATCCAAACAACAGAGCTCTGTTTAGCCTGACGGACAATTAAACTTGTAAAGAATAAGTTCCCGATGGTGAACGACCCCAATAAACCTTTTCAACTTGAGCTTCCTGCGGTTAGTTGGCAACTGACATTAATACACCGCCGCAGAAATGCTTCCGGGCTTTTTCAGCAAGGCGGAAATATTAATAACGCTTTAATGTCAAAAAAACAAGCAGTTTCTCTCCAATCCTTCTGGATACACTCTGTGAAAGTTAGGGTTAGATGCAGGCACTGACTTCATCAAGCAGTGTTTAGTTCCAGTCCATATGAGAGGTGCTCAGAGATCTCCAGACTTTTTCCCAAATTGAAATTCTTTTTCACAACTACTTGATCGTATTTTTCCCCGCAGTTTCTCTGCAACATCACTACAGACGTCATTAGAGGAACAAGTGCATTATACTGGGACAGTCGTGTGCATGTTCATGTTGTATGTTGTTGGTGTGTTTGCAGATCTGTGTTGCAGCGTGCATGTTTTACCATTGATCTAGTTAGAGGGGAAGAGGCTTGATCCAGGTCCTACTGTTTTAGGTTTGTTGTAAAGTGAAACTAGTGCCAATGGATGGGGTTTGCCTAAAAGGGCAGCGTAAGACTGCCAGAATGATAGAAATAATTTAAAGCTAACTTAGAAGCATATCTTGGAAACTTTTCCACAATAAACTATCTAAATATATATATTTTCCTTGCTTAAACCTCATCCATGGTGTTGAAATAAATGCCAAATGTGACAGGTTCTTGCTTTTTTTCATCCACTGAAAATGCCCTTACTTCCTTCCCTATTCTTTTTCCTTTCCTCTTCTTACTCTGCCTCTCAGCGCGGGACTATGAGATCCAGAGGGACAGGATAGAGTTGGGCCGCTGCATTGGAGAGGGTCAGTTTGGAGATGTACACCAAGGAGTCTACAACTGTCCAGTATGTGAAAACACACCAACATGCGCACCTCTCTGTTAATGCGTGTGGGCCAAAAGGCTTGTACAGTCTTGCTGTGTTATTTCGGCGAGCTTTACAGTGTATCATCTGTTAACGCCTGTCTCGTGTGCTGTTTGCTTGCAGGACAAAGCATCTCTAGCTGTCGCCATTAAGACCTGTAAGAACTGTACCTCTGACAGCGTCAGAGAAAAGTTCCTGCAAGAAGCACGTAAGATGCAATTTTGTGTGTTTGTCAGTGTGTCTCACATCACATTAGCATTAAATGCATGATGATGCTATTACTGTCTTTTTTCCTTGCAGTGACAATGCGTCAGTTTGACCATCCTCACATTGTTAAGCTGATCGGTGTGATCACAGAGAACCCGGTGTGGATCATCATGGAGCTCTGTACTCTTGGAGAGGTAACCCTCATGCTGTGTGTGTGGGATAATCTTGGTATTCGAGTTCTCTTGAGATGGCAAGAGCCATAAAAAGCTCAGTCTTGGTATGTCAGCGTGGTTCATCTTTTAACAGTGCCTCTGTCATTTCCTCCCTTTGTTTTCTCTCTCTGTCAACAGTTGCGCTCGTTCCTTCAGGTGAGGAAGTACAGTCTTGACCTGGCCACGCTCATCCTGTATGCCTACCAGCTCAGCACAGCTCTGGCCTACCTGGAGAGCAAACGCTTTGTACACAGGTAAACACACACACATATGCTTCTGTAGCCTGATTGAGGTGGGGGGGAGTGGAGGGCTCAGACTATTAGTGCCAACACCACAGATTATACTGAAATTGAATTAAAAAGGCATTTTCAACTACACGAACACCTGCAGGACTTTCAGTTTCTTATATAATCTCAAAACATATAAAAGTGCAAAATTATATTTCCTTTAATGACAACATTCTCTGACGATCTTCCCACATTCACCCTGCCTTGTTACAATTTTACCAGTTTACTCAACAGTGAGATTTCAGACTCATGAATCATCATTTTGCATCACAAATGACAGTTGGGGTGTTACACAATCGGATGCACATATGTCACAAATGAAGCATTGCATTGTGAGTCTGTGAGTGTGCGTGTGTAAGGATAATATATTATGTTTCATAAATATAATGTTACAGTTGAGACTACACACGGATCACAGCAGTAGGTTTTAGGTTTTCTTTTTTCCTGCTTTTTAAAAAAAAAATAAAAAATAGGGATATAGCAGCTCGCAACGTGTTGGTCTCTGCGGTGGACTGTGTGATGCTTGGAGACTTTGGTCTATCACGATACATGGAGGACAGCTCTTACTACAAAGGTAATGAAACAACAAAGCATTCAGTCGGATTTTAAGTATCCTTAGAGTTTCTGTGTAATTTCCACATTAACAGGTGTGTAAAAAGGCTCCTGTGATTTCTATAAAATGGGGAAACAAAGAAAGTGCAATGCTGACCTGAAACCAGCCAGTAGTCTTCGTTTAAATAACATTTAGCTGCCAGTGCGTTACCACCATCTACTGGTGACATCACGTTATATCAGCTGTTCTCTGTGTTACCAACTCATTGCAGCCTTTTTGTTGAAACACTAACTGGTGATAAATTTTTCAATTCTCTGCCTTAGTGCTTATCTCTGTGTCTGTGTTTGTGTCTCAGCTTCTAAAGGTAAACTTCCCATTAAGTGGATGGCTCCTGAATCTATCAATTTTAGGAGATTCACGTCTGCAAGTGACGTCTGGATGTTCGGTGAGTTGTTTTTTTTTTTTCTAATCCAGCGCCACTGTGTGATGATGTGATTCATCACTGTAGGTGACTTTTGCGTGTCTGCGTCTCCCCCATAGGCGTATGCATGTGGGAGATCTTGATGTACGGCATCAAGCCCTTCCAGGGGGTGAAAAACAATGACGTGATTGGCAGGATAGAAAACGGGGAGCGCCTGGCGATGCCTCCCCAGTGTCCGCCCACCCTCTACAGTTTGATGACCAAATGTTGGTCATATGACCCCAGCAAGCGTCCGCGATTCACTGAACTCAAAACACAACTCAGGTAAAAAAATAAACATAAAAAAAGTATTAAAAATATTAATAATTTAAAAAATGTTTGCATGCTTATTTAATTAATGAGGTAGTTTTTAATAATTTGCTTTAGGTGTAAAACTTTGATGTTGTTGCCATAATAGAGATGGCCTCTGTCTCAATCTGACCCCATGGAGTTTTTCTTCTTCTTCCTTTTCATTAAGTTTAATTGGTACTAAAAACATGACATTGTTTGTTTTAATTTCTCTAAAAATCTTTGACTTTCAGTACATTGGTCAAGATGAAATAGTGCACTAAACCAAAAGAGTGCATGACCGCTCGATTCAATTTTCTCTCCGCCAATGTTTTAATTTCTGAAGCACGATACTGGAGGAAGAGAAGCTCCAGCAAGAAGAGAGACTCCGAATGGAAATGAGGAGACAAGTCACCGTTTCATGGGACCCAGATGAAGCACCACCTAAAGTAGGAATCAATGACTGTTTGTGCTCGATCTGCCTTTTTGAAATCATTTGTTTCCCATCCTCCCATGTCCTTGTTATTTCTTGTATGTCTGTGCGAGTCTTTGTTGTGGCTGATTAACACAAATGGTTTTCTCCGTGTTTGTAGCCTAGCAGACCAGGTTACCCCAGTGAAGGCTTCGTCAGCAACTCCCCGCACAACCACTTCCCGGTAAACAGCACACAGAAGCACACAGATCTTCATCAGTGAGGAACCTGTGCGTTCCTGTTCTGCCTTATTCAGATTCAGCTGTCCTGGGAAGCACTACAGAGATAGATAGTGAGCTAGATGCTGTAAGACCTAATGTGGACAATGACAGTCCATTAATATATAAACCACTCCTTGTTAATGACTGACATCTATGCAGTCTGATATACTCTGCCATTATCTTAAACTGTGGTGAGCATAGTTTCATTGCACCTGACAAAGGTCACTTTGACCCACATGACATTTTACATCATCTGTGAAAAGATGGTTGAAAAAATGGCTTTTTCCAAGCATCTGCACACAGCTGTACATGCCGTAAGCAGTTACACAATTCTGTTGTTTCAAAACTGTCCTCCCCAATTTGTGTTAGATATTTACAAAAAGCAAAACAAAAAAGAAAAGTTGCTGCCAAGACAAATCTTTGGTCACGACTGAGCAAAAAATGCGAAAGGAAAACAATTCAGGCACCAGTTTCAAAAACAAACCTGTAAATGATATTCTGTAACACTAAAACAAAACAAAAAAATCTGTAAGGTTGTACAAATCAGCTCTAAGCGTGAATGCTGTCATCACAATAAGGCCAACCCAATAAAGTCTGTGTTAAGTCTGGAGTAGCTCTGACTGTCAGGCACACACTGCTGCATGTGTCTGAGTCAAAGAGAGACATGCAAGGACAGAAAGAGTTTGAGTGCAGTTATTCTTCTCCTCATAAACCAGGCAGACAGCAGGCATTTCCTGTAGTGCTAAAAGCCGCTTACTCGTGGACAAACACACACGGGCGCGCGCACACAAACACACACTAACAAATCAAAGCCACTCTTCAGCTCCTGGCAGCAAGCTTTTCTTTGGTCCTTATAAGGAGTGCGTAATTCAAACTGCCATTTAAGCCTAACTTGATAACATCGGACTTTAGATTAGCATCTGTATATTTCTGCATGCATTGCACACTAGACTGAGGTTTAAAGTGCATTTGAAGAGATTTTAACACTTTCTGAATGCATTTGCATGCCCGTCAGTGAAATAGTTACTGGCTTTGGTAGTGGTTTTTCATAAGTATTCATTGATTTCCTAGTGTTATTCTTGTGTCGGTAGATTTCTGATTGTTTTGCCATCATCTGACTGGTTTAGAGCGTCTTTAAAAGCAGACTTTTTGTGAAAACGTAGACGTGGAAAGTTGAATGATAATCAAAGTTTTCTCTTCTGCTATTTTATTATCTGTGAATCCTTCGTCTTTTATGTCTTTGAGTCCCCATTTTCTCATTATTTCTTTCTATTGACGTCATTCTCTTTCCTACCAACACTGCTTTAGAGATAAAACTCTTAAATCTTCTAGTAACATAGAGCCAGATGTTGCAAAAGAGGAAGAACTTTACACTGCTTGTTTGTTCATAAATATTTTTGATTGCTTTCTTTGTCTGATTTTCTTTTCCACTTTCAATCTGTCCTCCTCCAGCAATCCGCCCATGGTGGTGTAGGTGGAGGAGTTGGAGGCAGCTATCCTCCTACTGATTCCTGGAATCCGCACAGACCTGAACATACTGCACCATGGAGCCCGAATATGGAGGTGTGCACCCACAAATGCATTTGACACAGAACTTTCACCAGTCAAACATGAATTTGTGTAACATCTCAGCCACTCACTGAACCCACTGTCGTAACTGTTTGTTGAATTTTTGCCTCATATCAAACACAGAAAACACATAGTGGTTAAAGCAGTTATGACCTGCATATGTGTTCTGTTTGGTTGCCAGGCGAAGCTAAAATTAACCCCTTAGCAGTCCAATTAGTCCCCTAAACCATCCAATGTCCCGTGGGCGGTACGTCCGACTGCTAAGGGGTTAAATCTCAAGATTTGTATCTGTGTGTTTGTGTGTGTGTAATTTACTTTTCGTTTTAGGCAACCTGAGCTGGTTACAGCACAGTAGTGCGGGACATGCACTTGAATTTTTCTGCAGTTTCTTTTCCAAGCAGACCAAACAAAGTGCTTCGTGCTAAGGAATCGTGTAACGGCATTTAAGAAATGTTGAACTACTGTCTTTCAAGCATTTTTATCAAACTATGAACAGTCATGTATGGGGGAAATAAGAGGTTTTGACTGGACTCTTGATGTAAAATGTTAAAGTTCATGACAGTACAATTAGAAAAAAAGGATTATTTGGAAGGATTTCCAGGAAAAAGCCTATTCTCTTTAAAAAGAAGATAGCAGTATGACTTGCATCTGAACAGTCCATACTTATGGAACAATGTCCTTTAGACAGCCTAAAGTGGATGTTATGTTTCAAAGTTATGTTTGGGCCATAATTCATCGAACATTTCTTTTTTTTTTTCTTTTTTTTTTTCAGCAGTTACAGGATCTGGGCAACTTGCCGAACTCCTCTGTAAAACAAAGTATTCTGTGAGGCTACCTGTCCATCATTAAACCGGACAATAATCCCAAGCACAACAGCAAATCTTTGTAAGAAAGGACGAAAAACAAAAGTTCCAATGCCCAAGTCAATGTCCAGACTTTGAAATTTGAAATGCTGTGGTGGGACCTTAAGAGAGCTGTGAATAAACAAATTCCCGTAAAGCCCAATGAACTGAGGAAAGTCGTACAGAAAATGCTTATTATAAGTTATTGCAGCTAAAGCAGGTTCTACAAGCTACTGAATAATGGCGTGTGCTTAGTTTTTCCACAGGACTGACTAATTATAATCATTAAATCACGATAAGCAAGATTTATTCCTTCACTGCTACGTCTTGATAACAAGGCGCACCTAAGGACCTTTTTTTCCTCTCTCTCTCTCTCTCTCTCTTTCTACAGGACATTGGGTGTGTAGGTCAGGCTCTGATGGAGGAAAGGCTGATGATGCAGCAGCAACAGATGGAGGATGACCAGCGGTGGTTGGAGCAGGAGGAGAGCTTCATGGTAATTAAATTATACAGACTCATAGTGGCTGCATTTAAATATTCCCTCCTATTTTAGCTTTCTACATTGCCACTATTGTTTTTTTTTCTTTGTCACATCCATAGTGAAGATTATGAATCCAAAGCAAAATAAACTGGGGTAAGCAGGGCTTCAGTTGCCCCTTAAGTCAGCTAACCAAACCAGCATTATTTGTCTCTTTTCAGTATTAACACATGTGGCTTATTTATACTTTAAAAAGCAAACAAAAGACACAAATAAATTCAATTCCATTTTATTTATATAGCACCTAATCACAACAAGAGTTGCCTCAGGGCGCTTTATATTGTAAGGTAAGACTACAATAATACAAAGAAAACAGAGAAATCCCCAACAAGCCGCTATTAGCAAGTGCTTTGGTGACAGTGGGAAGGAAAAACCTGCAGCAGCATCAGGGACAAGGAGGGGCGGCCAGCTCCCATGACCAGTTGGGGGTGAGCGACTGAAGAGAGGACAAAAACATGCTGTGGAATAGAGCCAGAGATGAATAATAACTAATAATTAAATGCAGAGCGGTGTATAAACACAGAGTGAAAAAGGTAACTGAAGAAGAAACACTCAATGCATCATGGGAATCTCTAAACTAAGGAAGAAATCAAGGTCACATGATTCAACCCTGACTATATGGTTTATCAAAAAGGAAAGTTTTAAGCCTTATCTTAAAAGTAGCAACAGTATCTGTCTCCCGAATCCAAACTGGAAGCTGGTTCCACAGAAGAGGGGCCTGACAGCTGAAGACTCTGCCTCCCATTCTACTTTTAAATCCTCTAGGAATCACAAGTAAGCCTGCAGTCAGAGAGTGGAGAGCTCTAATGGGCTGATACGGTACTAAAAGGTCATTAAGATAAGATGGGACCTGAGTATTCACCTGATTATTCAAGACCTTGTGAAGAGCATGTGAGGAGCAGGATTTTAAATTTAATTCTGATTTAACAGGGAGCCAATGAAGAGATGCCAGCATAGGAGATATCTGCTCTCTTCTTTGTCACTGTCAGTACTCTTGCTGCAGATAAAATAAAGGCATATTTTACAACAGCAAATCATTTTGATTGCGAAATGGAACAAAAATCCAAATAAATACTTTATGAAGATGTAAAAATAAAATTAGTAAGAGATTTTTTCCCACTTGGTAAACCCTCTTCATGTCCACTGTTGTTGCCAGACGAGCTGCAGAATGTCTTTTTCAGATCTTTGAACTGGCTCAGTTGTGCATGCTTGATTTATCTCATCAGACACTGAGAAATCCCCAAAAAGGAGCCAAAATACTGCTTTTGCAAAACAAGTCTGTTTTTCTCCTCTGCTCAGGTCAGATTGTTTCTCTGCTTGTCTCGATGGCCTGTTTTTCAATTTTAAGACAAATGTTGGAGAGCTGAAAGGCAGTGAAAAAAATCAAGCATGAGTAATGAGCGCTGGGGAGTTGCTGGGTCGGCCTGTCATGTTTAACATGATTTCCTGTTCTACTGCTTCATAGACCAGGAAATCTGTCAGGGCAGATATGACGGGCTGAATGACTGATATCTTGTTTGTTAGCTGACACCAGGGGTGGGTTTTTTTTGTTTTGTTTTTTGTTTTTTTCTGGATACTTTATATACCTCGCTGCACAAACCTTGAGGACCTTGGACCCCTGGGGAAATTAACACCCAGATTAATGGCAAAGGGGGCGGACCTGAGGGGCACCTTTTAACCTTTGCACTTTATGACTTGTTTCTAACTCATGTAATTAGTGGACAGGTTTGGATGTACCACCTGAATCACAGCCACCTCAAACATTTTTTCAATAAAAGCTTTAACAGCCACGTTTTCGAAATCTCATAAAGAGGGACTGACTGGCACTCACTACCCAGAGCATGGATGTAAAAACCAAAATTGCTCCCTACAGATTCTCTGCTGAGCTGAAGCTAATCTGATAGTATCTTGGTTCCAGCAGCTGAAAATGTAACAATAGACATAGATTTAATCGCAAGGTAGTGTGCTTTAAAATCAATAGTGCTGTAGATTAAAACCCACTGTCCACAGGATTTGTGTCAGCTGCAGGGTCAGTCAGTGAGCAGGTAGTATTACAAAGCCTATTTGAAGTCTAGTTAAATTAAGATTCTGACGTGTATGCCGCTGTGACCCTGCCAGGAATGCGATAAAAAACGTTCACATGATATTCTCAGCAGATTAATAGTAGTGAAACTGTTATAAATTTCACATTAAAACCAAATGTGTGTTTGAGCTCTTTAGAAGTGCCTCGTGCTATCTGTTTTTCTTTCTTGGGAGCTGACCTTCATAATATTTGAAATCCATTTTTAAACCTAGTCTTTTGCAGGTGTAGTTTAAATGCTTGCCTCTAATTAGCAACACATTCCTGCACAGAGTGCATGTGATCAGTGATGTGTTGACTTCTGGTCTAAAGTCTGAGTGAACCTTAATCTCCAGTGGCAGCTGTTGTGGCCGTTACTCCTGCCTAAAATCATTCTTGAACCATGTTCAGCTGGAGAAGTCAAGTGAAAGCTGCTGTCGTACGTTTGAAAGAAGCAAGTGGAATTTTTGCTGTGAGGGAAAACGAGCGCTGGATTCGGGATATGCAGGCTAACTTAATGTAGAATATGTGCTGGAAAATTACAGAAGTAATAAAAGAGCTTAAGGCAAAACAGGCAAGTAAATTTGATGTGTGAGTTCAGGCTCATCAGGAGAGTGGAAGAAGGGAAAGAGAAAAGCAAAGAGAGGAGGACAGAGGGAGGGAGAAAGGAAGTGGGATTGGCAAGAGCGAGGGAGAGGGAGGAATGAACGAGGAGTCGCCCGTCAGAAAGAAGGAGCGAGAGAAACAGGAGGAGATCCAGAGAGATGGAAAGAGTGGGAGGGAGAAAAAGAGAGGACAGTGAGGCAATTGGATCTTTTTCTCTTTAGGATTTAGTCTCTGTGCCCAGCGGAGCTTTTCTTCCTCTGGAAAAACTTTTTCTCCTGCCTTTTCCTTCTCATCCAGTCGCCTCTGACTCAGGTTTTCTCTCTGTCTTTTGCAAACTTCTGCATTTCTTTGTGCTGTCTACCGTCAGTTTCTCTATGACTTGAGCTGCTCCATCTTTTATCGCCCCTTCTATTAAACTTTCGATCCTTACCCCCGCCCTTCTTTCGATGGCCTCCACTCTCTGCATTCCTCCGCCTGACTTCATCAACCTATATTCTCCCAGGATGCATCTCTTCAAGGCGTGCTTCACCAAAACGGTACTGGAACAGAAAGCGAGGGGATGCTGGAACTATTCAGTCGTGTAGTGATCTGTTTGTGAGCAGGGCTGGTTTTTTTTGATTGTCGCTGCTAATGTTTTAATTTTGCAAAATCAGTTTTGCTTTTAAATTGTGATGCTTGGTTAGGAAATGAAATGATTTTGCAGCAGTTTTTATGAATTACAAATAAAATGTTACATATTTTATTCTTTTGCTGCAATGCCTGGTACAATGTGCATATATTTCTGTATAAAATATATATATTTATGGCTTTTATACTAATTCTTTCTAATCCATTGTATGTCTGTGTCTCCCTGCAGAAGGCGGAGTCCAGAAACAGCAGAGGGAGCGTCGACAGGGAGGACGGCACACTACAAGCACCGGTCAGTCTATGTGTGCGTGTGTATGTGTGTGTGTGCTTTGACATTTTAAAATTGGATTCACTTGTGGTTTCGTTGAGCTGTGGAGCATGGTTGGACAAATGCTTGTGGTGCTAAGAAAAACGTAATAGAGAGGTAGCAGAGAGATGATTATAAAAAAAGGGGGAAAAGCAGAGAAAAGCTCAAAGAAAGAGAACCAGAGTGAGGCAGAGGGGAACGCGTTCAGACAAACGGAGAGGAAATGCAGACGGCGGGAGAAGAGAAAGTATTTCAGTCTGTGAGCCATGCAGGGCACTGCCTACATACCGACCACTTGACCACAGAGGACACATGGGAACTTTAAAGGCAGAAGAACTGGACGTTAACTGTACACAAGGGTTATAATGGCCTGTAGCTTAGGCAAAAATGAGGACGTTGCTGGTGATTCTTCTCGGTATGCGATGGCAGCTTCCAACTTTCTGTCTTATATTTAGCTTGTTTATGTTTGTGAATGTTACATTTATTGTTTCTGTGAGATTTATTCCCCTAAATAAAAGGTTGGTCAATGTGGATGAGAATTTATTGATACTAGACTTATAAAAGTCTGAGATTACTGGACAAATTTAAGTGTGTCTGTCTGTCTGCACAGGGTGGAAGTCAACATATCTACCAGCCTGTTGGGAAACCAGGTGAGAGAGCAAACACACTGACATGTTTAGTAGAAACAGACGGTGACAAGTATTGAAAATATTAAGTATTTTCATCCCAACATTTGTGGTGGAAGAAAAATATTAGAACTGGTACATTATTAGTTGGCATTGTTGACGCATGAACATGTCGGTCGCTATAGCATATCAGTGGTAAACTACTTTAAACTACTTTGTATTCTGTTTCTTAAATGTAACTCATATTATAGTCTAGTTATCTGTATAAAAATGTACATGCTATGTTGCTTCATGGCAAAGATGCTAACCCACAATTTTGTTTTTTCCCCCAGAACCTGTGGCACCTCCCAAAAAGCCGCCCCGCCCAGGAGCTCCAGCTAACTTAACCAACCTGCCCAGTCTCTGCCCCGTAGAAAGCTACAATGACGGGGTCAAGGTGCATATGAACACACAAATTCCAGCAAGAACGTGAGGTTTAAAGATGATTAAGATTAGGAACGGGCTTTCATTTCTCTGTTTCATAGAAGTCTGAGTTTTACTGTGGTAATTTGCACGCTCTTGCCTACACATAGCTTTTGATTTGGTTCTTTGGTATTGTGCTGATGGGTTGCATGCCGGTCCATGTCATGCCTTGCCTGTGGTTGGCTTTGGCCTAATGTGCTGTCCCTCTTCTCTCCCCCCCTTTTTACTCCTTCTCTCCCCCCTGTTACTAACTTCCATCCACTACTCCTTTAACCTGCTTCCATTCTGTTCTTATTCCTTATTTTCTGACCCGCGGCACCGCATTCACACACCCACCAATCCATCTCTCCGACACATTCCCTTGTTTTCACAACCTGCGTACTCCGTTCCCCTTCAACCACTCCCCTTTCAAACCGCATCCACCCGACCACCACCACTCCTTCCCCTGCCCTCTTCCTCCCCCAAGCCGTGGAGGGTAAGCTAATCTTTGTGTGTCTGTCCTCATTATAGAGTTAGCCAGCTGCTAGTTACAGTCACTTTCATGTTCTCTGAGTCATTCAGTCATTTTCTTCACCAGAGAAAAAAAAACGGGGGAAAAAATAGAAAACAGTTGTTATTAATGGAATCGTGGTTATGAACTGCTGGTTAGAGATAGATTGCATATATAAAACCTTTTTTTTAAAAAGTGCAAGCAATACTTCTGGTGAAGAAAAAATTGATGTAGATATTATAGCACATGTCAGTAGATTTGTAGCAAAAGTCTTAACACTGTGTTTAATGATCGAAGTTAAAATGATGAACTTCTCAAAGGTTTGATGCATCAAAAACATCTACCTCCAAATCTGAGTTATTGTCCACCATCATTTGGAAAAACTTTGATTATTTTTATTGTTTTGGTTTTGCCTTATTTTATTAATGAAAACTGTGGCTTTCAAATTGCTTAAGCCTTGCTTTAACGTCTCCATAGTAATTGCTTCACCACGACATTTAAAAATGTCTCGTAGCTTAAACACAGTTACGTTGGTACCTTAAATCTGTAAAACAAGGTACAGAGTTTTAATTGGAAAACACCATAAAATGTTTTCAAATGGTTCGAATTAAAAGGGCTTTTTTGTATAAATGCAAGCTTTACACACAGCAGATGTGCAGTGTCTGCTTAGTGTTAACATCTGTATTAAAGTCACTTAACAAAGAGTTGAGCTTTGAGTTTGTCACTTAACAACCATTCTGTACTAACATGCCTGCTGCTCACTGTAGAAAAGTCCGTTTCTCATCATTAGCTAGAAATGCTTGTGGCTAGAAATAGATTGTGTCCAGTTTATCTTTGCATATACTGCCACCTACAGCTAAATGTGTGAAACTACCATCACTTGCCTGACCATGGCAGAAGAAAGAGCTGTTGGCAGTTTGAGTGATGTTAGTCGTTGTTTAAATATGTATATTTAAAAGAAATAAACTAAGAAAAAATAGCAATGAATTGGAAACTTAAATCTTTATGAGTAAGTCTTACTCCGGTCTGCTGGTACAGTTGCAGCCTCAAGAGATCAGCCCACCTCCCACCGCCAACTTGGATCGTTCCAACGACAAAGTGTATGAGAATGTGACGGGACTGGTTAAAGCTGTGATCGAGATGTCGAACAGGATCCAGCCCGCTGCCCCGGAGGAGTACGTCCCCATGGTCAAGGTAGGGTGAACGTCACGGTTAAGATCTTCAGAAAACCTTCACTGTTATTTACACTTTGTGTTACACTGGCAGAGTGTGAAAATTGAGAAAATATTAGGGTGTGGAAGAGCCAGTTTAATACTACAAACTTATGATTGTATGTGTTTATTGTCATAGGAAGTTGGTTTGGCTCTGAGGACTCTGCTGGCCACAGTGGATGAGACGATTCCTGTGCTGCCAGCCAGCACACACAGAGAGGTACAAAGAAACTCCTGTGATAAGAGAAAACCACTAAAAGGGTTCAGTGATAGGTTGAAAACTAGATAAACTGTCTTTCGTTTGTTTTTGGAGTTATTTTTGATCTTTTTCATGAGAGTTTCTTAATTTCTTGTCACAGCAACTACTCATTGGCGAAACATTGTTTATCCAGTCTTGTACACTGAATCTTCCTTCTTAAAAAACCAACAAAAGGAATGTCTGTTCTTTGTCTGCTACGACAGCTTGAGTAAGGGTTTCCTTATGTAGTACTACTACAAGGCATATTTGCTAACGACACCGTAGTGTAAAAGGTAACGTTGTCGCTAAGGTGTCCATAGAGACAGAGTGCTTAAAAAATAACCCGTAAAAATGTGTCTCCTGTCCCACTGAAGCCGATGCAACTGAGGTCCACATAGATGTGAGAAATGTACCCTAACAGGCACCTGTGTTGTCATTTTAAAGCCACTTTTGGTATTGAAGTAAATACATTTCTTTGATCTTCTTCCTTTGGAAGTTATCATTTATCATCTGATCCTGATATTTTCTTTGTCTTTTCATAGATTGAAATGGCCCAGAAGCTGCTGAATTCAGATCTGGCCGAGTTGATAGCGAAGATGAAGCTGGCGCAGCAGTATGTCATGACAAGGTGACGATTAACACGTTAACGGCGCGTTTTCTTGATTTATTTTTACGTCGGGGCTCATGTAGTAAAAGCTGTGTCTGTTTCGACAGTTTACAAAAGGACTACAAGAAACAGATGCTAATGGCAGCTCACGCCCTCGCAGTTGACGCCAAGAACCTGCTGGACGTCATCGACCAATCACGGCTCAAGATGATCAACCAGACCCGCCCACATTAGCCCGGGATCTAACCAACTTGGCGGTTTTTGATGAAGTGAATCCAAATGCAGGACAGGAAAAGAGGGCCCGGGAGTTTGGTAGTTCTCGGGAATTTAATAAGAGACTGAGAAGGATCGGCAGGTGGACAGAGTGATGAAGGTCTGACGTGGAAAACCGATGAACAGCAGACACGACAAACTGAAACAATCAGCCCCTCCCCCCCTCGTTCTCTCTGGAAAAAAGTCATGTTTTGGCCAATGTTGTGTTGTTTTGTACTTCAGTTGTATTATTGCCTTTTTGTATCCAGAGAAACCCTCTTCTGTCTCATCACATATCCTCAAAAAGAAACCCTTTTTTTCCAGAATGACTCATTACTCATTTAAATCTTTGAAGATTCAAATAAAATGTCTGGGAAGCTCACTTGAAGGACTGGACAGGTATTTTTGGTGAATGGACCCACCAATCTTTGCCACGAGAACACATGACTGACACTCCACAAACGCAGGAGGAAGCAACTGGAACTGAAGAGCCTGCATGAGGAGGATGATGAAGATGATTTCATAAAGTTCTTTAAACATGCTTTTATATTATTATTATTATTGTGGTTGTTGTTGCTATGTTCATCCCTGCAGTATGCCTCTGTTTTCTTAAACTTTGTATGAACAAAAGTGATCGATTTACACCACGGTTGCTCATAATTTCATCTCTTTTCTCTTCTTTTCACCCCACTCTAGACTTCTTTATCTCAGGCATCAAGATACAGCATAAACATTTGAGTATTAAAAAAAATGCAACAGCTATAGGTCTTTTTAAATATAAAAACTGCTACATGCAACTTTTAAAGTTAACTTGCATAAGTAAATATACAAAGAAGCTCTATTTTTAACACATTTCTGAGGCATGAATTGTTAGTAAATAATAAATATTGGAGAGGGGAGAACAGGAGGGAGGAGTGGAAGGGACAAATGGAGGGAGGGTAGTTTTTAAGTTACAGTGGAGGTGCTAATAATACTATACAGCTGCTTGCCCTGTGCCAAATGAACATTTCACTCAAAACATTGCTTAACTGTGGAATACAAGAACAAGTTTAGCAACAGCTTAACTGTTGTTTCTCTGCTTATCCTCCAAAATTTTGATTGGTTTGTATATTAAAGCTCTCTGTACCATGCCATCAGTCGGGTTGTTTCCTCTTTGTCAAACTTTCAGGTGATTAGTAGAATATTTAGTCTTTGTTGCACTCTAGTTGTATCTGTACCGCACCAAGAGCTGTTTTAAATTAAGGATGTCGACCTCATTCGCAAGGGTTTGGTCATGATTTTAAAATATGAAATTGTTATCCTGTTTTCCTCCCCCACCTTTCTACCTCCCTCCACTGCAGTTATTTATACCTTTTGAATCCTTCTCTACTTCTGGTCTATCTATTCTTCCCCTCACCTTTGTGTTCCTTCTCTCCTCCCTCTCATCCTCTCGCTGTTCCCTCTCCCCTGAGGTGAGCAATATTCTCAGGAAGGAGACAGTTGTACAGTTGCTAAACCGAGCAAATAAAACACTGTTATTATTGAAGCAATTCAGGTTGTTGTCTTGTTTCGTCTGTTATTTGTTTCACTGTCTGTAAGATAGCAATACATATTTTATGCATGCTTAATTACATACTGTAGATCTATATGGGAAACTCATGTTGGGCTTTTTGGCTTGTAAAGCATCGAAAGACTCAATAATTCAAGTAGAGCTCCTGAATTAAGGCTATTTAGGATTTTTTTTTTTTTTTTTTGCCATCCATAAGGCAAAATTTCAGTCCACTTCAGTCATAACAGCAGTACATCACGGGAAACCCTGAGTAGTTTAAGGGTATTGCAGCATAATTGAGGTATAGTTCAGGGTCCCCTAATCCAACCATAAGTATTATTTTTATCAAAAAGGAAAAGTTGAATTTTAAGTTATCTCATAATTTCAATTTACTAACTCATACTCAGATTTGAGAATATAACTTGAAATTTTGAGTTATTAAGTCTTACTTTAGTAATAAAATAAGACTTTGTAAGTAAAATAAGTAAATGAGCTCAGCATGGATCATAAATGAACATAACTGTAAGTGAGCTTAACCTTTGGCAGGTTAATAGTTAACCCACCAGCAACAATGGGTTCCGTTTTAACCCCCTTACATTGACAAAATTAAACATATTGTGTGTAGGGGAAGTCTAAGGAGTAAAATGCACGAGGTTATTTGGGGATTAAATGAGTTAATGTGAAGACAATGCTAAAGTTCATGCTGATGGCATGGTTTTGATGATCTTAGAAAAGTTGTCAGTACTCTTGGATCATAAGTCTTATTGCAAAACCTGCCAGACAGTACATGATTTAAAAAAATCTGGTCACTGTGTTTTGTGACGTTCAGTTGTTCTTAGTTTGGTTGTCGCTGTGAGTGGAAAAGACAAATTTATAAAACTTGTTTCCGCCCGGTTTCGAACCGGGGACCTTTCGCGTGTGAGGCGAACGTGATAACCACTACACTACGGAAACTGCTGTTAGTAGTACGTGCGCCACCTTGTATACAAATATTGCAATATATGCAATCAGGAATACGATGTTTTATTTCGATACACAAGTTTAGTTCGATACATTTGTGGATTTCCTCACCACCTGGTTAACTCCCGGTTGTGTGACTCTTTTAGCAGGACAGGCACAGAGAATAATTTTGACTACTGATGTTACGTCTGACGCTGAAACCCCGAGTGTCAAGTAAAGCTTAAAGCCTTTGTCCAGGCCAGCAGAGCCGTGGACTGCCTGGTTATGTGACTCGAGCAGTTCATAAGACGGTGAAATTATGGGTTTTCTTTTGTTGCGTGCATTGGATCTGAGGTGATTTTGAGGTATCACCAGCTTGCAAGATTGTAAGCAGATTATGGAGCCACCAAAAAGGCGAAAAATATTAGCATTTAGGGAGCATTTGGAGATGACGCATTCACTGGGCTTCATGCCATCACTACTTTTGACTTGAAGTAAAATCTTTTGAATTAAATGTATATGCCGAACTGAAAGCCAATGATCTGAGAGCTTAGAGGTCATTATTTATTCAGGGTACTGTCATCATCTTCTAAATTGTATTAAAAGTCATCTCCACAGTCTAACTTAAGATGACCATTGATCAGTAATAAATCCACATTTACCCAACTTATCAAACTGTATTTTCAAGACAAGCTGTTGCCGATCTCCTAAAAGTTTACTCCAGATCATGAAGTCTTCTACCAGTTTTGCACTATGCAGAAACATATTTTATCAATTGGCTGGTCAGACTAATGAGAATTGAAAGTAACTGAGAATGAAAAGTAAAATCTTGAGTATAATTTGGATGATCATTGTATTCAGCTTTTACAAAACTCCGACCTAGAGTTCAGTAGCTGCAGTTTTGTGAATTATCAGCACACAGCTTGCCATGGCATTAGGTTCAGTGCCCAAATTGAATGTGTGCTGAAATATAATTTCTCTCATGTCCAGGGAAGTGAAGTCACTACAAATCTACAGCCTTAAATGTCACTTTAGGTTAATGTGCTGACAAATGCTGCAGATTTAAATTGTATGTGCAGAATTTCTGTACATAAAAAACAAACAAAAACAAGAGACAAGGAGTCATTTTTTATACTTTTATTGTGTTTTTGTATAAAAAACATCTGTTTTTGCATAAAAAAACATCTGTTTTAGTCAAAGAGACCAAAGCCCATGTCGTCGTCTGACTCCTCGGACTCTTCCTTCTTCTCCTCCTTCTTCTCCTCCTCCTTGGCTGTAGAGGGAAAACAAGATGTAGTTAAGTCAAAGATGACTACACAAACTAAATTCAGAAGAAAAGAAAAAAGTCAATTTGATTTCCGAGGTACATGAAACCTGAACTTGAAGGAGAAACTCAAAAGTGGTACAAGCCCAAGACTGCATTTACATTATTGTTATGTAACTGCAAATGTAGCGCTGGGAAATGCTTTGTTTAGTTACCTGGGGCGTCACCAGCAGTGGCAGTACCACCTGCAGCAGCAGCGACTCCAGCGGGGGCTCCGCCGCCAGCTCCAACATTGCAGATCAGACTGCCGATGTCGATGCTGGACAGAGCCTACCAAAGAAAATTCACAGGTTACGTCACTTTATTCACATGTCCAGCGCTTGTTATAGAGATCAGTGTATTTAAAAGGCAGGGCAGCATAACTCCTACCTACCATGCCTAAAGACTCTTTACAGCAAGTGTAGTACGTTTTCATTTTTTAAAATTTTTAGCATGTTCATAATTTGTGTCCTACTCGTTCATTGAACTTTCTTTAAGTGGCAGCACTGTTGCATCAAGACATTTATTCCATATTCATGTGTTTACTCATACTGGCAACAACAGGAACAATATTAATGCTTTCAGCCTGACATAACTTTAAAAAAAAAAGAAATTTAAATGTAAACCATTAAAACACACAGAAAGCAATGAACAGGTCTGTTTCACTACGGCACGTGCAATCAGTAAGTCTCCTTTACAGCCACTTAAATTTGTATTGGTTATAAGAGTTATTGGGATACATAAAAACTGGCAGATCTTCAGATCTATTCAGTGATATGATTTCAGAAGTGTGTTCTCTCACCTTGGCGAACAGACTTGGCCAGAAAGGCTCCACAGTGACTCCAGCAGCCTTGATCAGGGCATTCAGCTTGTCCTCCTGTGGACAGACAAATAAATAGCATAACAGCCATCATTATTAAACTCTACTTCACATGTTGAACCACTTTTGGGAACCCCTTTTGCTAAAATCTGAGCGATGACATATAAACTGGTGTTCTATAATGTGTTGAAGCTAACACTTTCAGTGATTACAAATATAATTTAAGAAAACATAACTGAAACATGTCCTCATTCCACTTTCACAGGTAAACATAATGTGCGTGAAATCATACACTGGTGGTGGCAAGCCACATTGTAGACACAGCCTTCAGAAGCCAGGCTGCCACCGGGCCCTCTGACGACCACCACCAGTAGACACACATGGGGTTAGTATCTTGCCCAAGGATATTTGGCATGTAGCCTGGGATCGAACCACAGACCTTCCGGGGAGTAGGTGACCCGCTCATGCAACAAGCTCTAACAATAACAACTTTGAACGGTGATGCCAACACTATAAAAATAAATGTTGTACTCTTGATGAGTCTGACCACACAGCCTGTCAGTGAACATTGCATCCAGACCTGTCAGCCGAGATGTTTAAGGCTAAACTGATGGTTAAACATCAGCATTCAGAGTACGAACACAAGACTGAGCTGTCCAGCTAGAAAAACGCGGCCTATGAATAGCAAGTAGCATGACGCCATTTTAGCCAGTTCGCGGAGATAACTGGCGTTTGCTCGATATATTAATATACTGGTTTATCTGTAAACTTTAATGTCTCATTTTTTGTATTTCGGGATATTTATCCCCAGAAAAAAATGTTCAAGAACGACCAATTCAGACATATTGGCTGAAATATCCCGGGTAACCTAGGACACTTACAGTGACGGTAACTTCATCGTCGTGGAGGATCAGAGCGGAGTAAATGCAGGCGAGCTCGGATACGGAGGCCATCGTAGATGTTAGATTTAATGTTCGTAGGGTCAGATGCCTGAAATTGACGGTGCTAGTCGCCGGATTGCGGGCCTTAGCTTCTGGTGAAGAACCGAGCACCTCACGCACGTTGAATTCCTACAGCAGAAAAGGGAGGGTCGAAGGGAGGAGCTCAGTGGATATACTGTGCGTCAGGGAGCGTGGTTCTGACGTCACGACGCACAAAACGACGTACGATAGCTTTATGTTCAGAAGACTTTATTTTATTTTTAGAATAGTAATACGTCGCTGGTAAATATTATACATAAAACAGTTCAAAAATATCTTGTATCTAGTCCCGGTATTATATTCCTACTAGTCTACATATAATGAAACATCAGTGTGTGAGTTATTTAGTTTTTTTTGAATATTTGTCACACGTACATATTTCAGATCAGGGGTGGCATGGGGTGGCATGTGCCACCCTAAAATGATCTCCTGCCACCTCTCTACCTCTAGCGCCACCCTATGGTTGTGCCAGAGCACATTTTGAATCAACACCGAATGAAGGTGACAGAGGGGGGGAGGCATGGGGTGACATGTGCCAATGGTTCAGCCTCTGGGGTCGCCGCACCTCCAAATCATATATGTCTGACTTAAGATGACATAGATACAAGCTGCAGCCACGCTGAGTCTCTGCTTTAACTTGTGTTGAAAGTTCAGACTTCAAACTATACACCAGTTTTTTTATTTGATTGATAGGCCACTAAAACCAGAGTTGTTTTTTTTAACATGCTCTTTCCTGAATACTACCATCATGTTTAGTGTGGAAAAAACAGTAGAAAAAGGGCATTTTTTAAGGACAGCATCCAAAAAAGGAAAGAAATGTACCACATTTACTAATAAAATTATTATATGGCATCAAGTGGAAGAGAGGAATGTTTTTGGGAGTGATGGCAGAGAGAGAAAGACACAGAGAGAGCGATATCAATAGTGAATTTGTGACGTTCAGTGTGTTTGGAGTGTAGTTAGTGTGGAGTGTAGTCGTTGTTTTGTTTTGTGTGTCAGTGAGGGTACTAGTGAATATCACAGTAGCTGCCAAAAAGCCACCAAAGGCAGACTGCAGTGTAAACACTCTATCCAGGTGGAAAACAGGAGGAGTGATACAACTCCTGCTGTCAGGCCTGCAGGGTCTATCCCTGTAGTGTCTTATGTTGTGGCTGGAAAAAACTATTTTTTACACTGGCACAAATAATTTGTGGGGCATCTTATTGCGACACCTGATTGTTCTCTCATTTTAGTTTCAGTAGAATTTTTACCCTTGCCCTGTGGCAAATTACACCCTGGACCCCAATAAAACATGAAAAATTAGGACTCTGCAGTCTATTCACACCTACAGGCCAGTGGACACTCTTTCAAGGATGAGGATGTGCACATCCTGGACAGGGGGGAACGCTGGTTTGAACGCGGAGTCGAGGAGGCCATTTATGTGAAAAGGGAAAGACCATCTCTAAATCGAGGAGGGGGCCTAAGGGTACATCTTTCGCCATCTTACAATGCTGTGATTGCAGCCATTCCCCAACTCTCTGTGAATGGTACTCATGGCCATTGATCAGTGGTCTTTGATCAGTGGTTGTTGATCAATGGTCATGAGAATTTTCATAATTAAGATTAAGGAACTGACCTCCCGGCCTATTGTTCCTTCAGTGGGCTGGTTTCAGTCATTATGCAAATGTACTGTTTATAAGATTGGGGAAACCTGCAGGCAGCTGAGACTGAAGAAGTCACTTGGATGAGTGACGAAACGTTTCTCCCACAAAACGCTACGTCCAGATGAACAGAATCAACTTTTTGGAGATTTACTTTCCTGGATGATTGAGAATGCATCAAGACCATCTTGGTGTATGTGTAAATTGCGGAGGAATGCAGGAGTTCTGTATTTATAGAAACACTTGACTACACTCAGAGACCTTACAGCAGCAGTGTACCACATTGCAGAGAGCTGTACTGTCTTTTCCTCTCCTGCAAGGTTTGTGCACTCTTTTTGATTGTTGTGGTTGTGTGATTGAGCTTTAGGCCATGAATCGATGGCTGGACATATTCCATCAATTACAGCAAGTTGTCCTGGTCCTGAAGCAACAAAGCAGCTCCAGAACATCATACTACCACCACCATGTTTTACTACTGGTATGCCATTTTTCAGAAAAGCTGTGTTAGTTTTATGACAGGTGTAGTGGTTCTGAAAGCTTCCAAAAAAACCTCATCAGTCTACAGAATATTTTCCCTAAGGTCTTCGAATCATCAAGTTGTTTTCTTTTTTGCCAAATGTGACTGATACTCTGTTCTTTTTGGTCAACAGTGGTTTTTACCATGAACTCTGACCTTAATTGTGCAAATGAGGCTGGCAGTTCATTAGTCTTTCTTCCTCTCTTGATGTGATCTTTAAGTCATTTTGGTAGGGCGGCCACTCCTGGGAGGGTTCACCACTGTTCCAAGATTTCTCCATTTGTGGATAAAGGCTCTCAGTGTGGTACACTGGAGTCCCAAAGCTTTAGAAATGGCTTAGTAAGACTGATAGATGCCCAACTTTTGTTCTCTGCCGCTCTTGAGTTTCTTTAGATCGTGATATGATTTGATGTATACTTCACTGTCAGACAGATTCTGTTAGAGTAATTTCTTGATCCAATAGACCTGGTAGTAATTAGGCCTCGATTATCTAACCAAAGTCATTGCACGATTTAGTGTGTGTGTGTGTGCGCGCGCGCGAGAGAGAGGTTTTGCTAGATTTTTCCCTTAACAAATGAAATTATCTCTGCATTACTCAGGTTATCTCTGAGCAACATTTCCACTGAACAGTTTACCCCAGCAATAGTAACATACCAACTACACGTAACATTTTGTCAGTTATTTTTTAATTTCATCTCAATCAAAAACACAAACATTACAATAAGTAAAACAATTTAAAGGCAAATCTCTGCCAACTCTATTTTTAAGAAACATAAATCCTGTGCAGAACCTTTATATACAGACCTAATATATCATGATATCTGAATGTTAAGTACATTATTTCAATTAAAGTCTTAAAAAAAAAAAAAACCCCCACCCAAACTAGGGCAAATAAATCAAATTTTGACTGCATAAACTCAGTGTAATAATACTTTGTTTAAACATTTCCATCATCATCTCTCTCACAATGTCAGTGTTTATTCAAAAGATCCGATGTACCATCCATTGTGAGCGTACAATGGTAACATTATTCATTCTCACATTTGGCACTAGCAGATTTTCTTGGCCCAGTTATGTAAAAAAAAAAAAAAAGAAGATTGATGGAAAAGATAGTAGGACTGTCAGTGGTACAATGTCATGAAACGGTCAGTACCATTTACAGAGACACAAAACATACAGAACTCAACTTCACAGATTGTGGAACTTTCAAGCTTAAGTGTCTGGAATGTCTTGGGCAATTAATCTTCTCTCCATGGCAACAGATCACAACTTTCTCCTCTGCCTCTAGTGAAATTCTCCCGCCATCTACTGGCAAATAAACGGAATTGTGTAACAATCCGCGCTTCTTCAGCAGAACTGAAAAGTGATGCATTCAAATGCATCACTTTTCCAATTTGGATTTCTAAACGTTTACGTTTTAAATCCCATTTTCTTTGATTTTGCCCTCAAATGTTACAGTTTATTCTCATTTTAAAAAGCATACTTATGTCGATTTGAAATTTTACATTGTGTGAAATAAGCTATTTAAGCTGCTCTCTCTTTAAGGCTGCCCTCTGTCATGCATACCGTTGTATTTTATTATTTTGGCAACTTTGTTTGCTTTGCGGAAGCAAAAGTAAGCTACTGGAAGCAAACTTAATCACCGTCAATTTATGTATACAGGTCTGCATATCTTCTTGATAAGCTGATATCATCATCATATTAATAAGGAAGTAGAAAAAAGTCCCGTAAACCGTTTTGTTATGCTTTTGGTGTTTCATTTCTCCCATTCAGAGATTACGTTCAAATGTGTTTATCTAATTATCTCTTACTATGAACATTTACATCATAACAGTGTGTGTAATAGAAAACGAGCATAACAGGTCCTCTTTACAGCTCAGTCACACTAGAGTAAAAGCAGGACAGCGACTTTCTTGTAACTAGGAGAAAAAAAAAAAAAAAAAGACAACAAAAATGTGAATACTTTACATCAACTACATCACTATTCATGGAGGAATTCCCATTTTACACTTGCCGGACTCTGAATGCTAGGGTTTAATGTGAATTTGTAACAGATATCAACAGATCTCTTCATAAGCAGATTGCATGTAATTGCCAACTGGATCCTATTCAGTTGCAAACTGATAGCAGACTGTCTTATTGGCCTTACTGCCATTTCGTCGCCGTCTTGCACTAAAGTCACTTTGACTTACAAGTTTACAGAACACCGGCAGAATGGTTTTGGTCGTGCCGTGGCCTCCAACTACTGTTTTCTCTAGTGTGACTGTAGCATTAAACATGACCGTTCTTTGTCACAGAACTAACAAATGCCAACTGTATGCATGTGATCATTTTGGATATAATTTTGTACAGTTTTTTTTTTTTTAAGAGCCAGATTGCCAAGTTATTGAGAAATGCTTAAAAAGAATGAACATATTTTCTGATAATTTACATATTCAACAGAGCTAACAATATATCATTTTTAGTTTCTGTATGGCTTACCTTTGCTTATTGCAGCTTTCATATTTTATTCCAATTACCATAAACACCAGCTACCAATTTAGAAATAGTGGCCACTTAAGGACAAAAGCTGCAATTATGACTACAGCCTGATTTTTCTGAGACTGTCTGGAACAATATTATTGAGCTGCCTGAAACATCAGTCAGAATGCTTCACCTCCTTTTTTGTCACAGCACAGTCTTTCTATCCCTGCCATCACACAGCTATCTTGATTTTACTTGAAGGCCGTCTTATCTGGTAGGTATACAACAAGCCACTGGATTATGTCTTCTTACTGAATAAAGCTCTCAGATGAGCAAAGCAGCTCTTTCTCTGCAGCTCGTAGATATACTACATCTGCCAGCTGTCGGAGGAGGCTGAATCCAACTTGTTCAAAACACGAGCGTAGCATTGTTAAGAATTATAAAGATTCCTTTGTGCATTTAAAACTCTGGAAAAATAAAAATACACTGTCACTGTGTCCCATCACACACACTGTAACTAACCCCCGCCCCACCAAAAAAACCCCAAAACAAAACAAGAAGGCCACGTCAGACTGTCAGACGAAGCAGAAGATGATGTTGCCCTTTTAACAATTTTTAACAGGGTGGAAAAAGTCTGAACCATAAGCACATTTATGTGCCTGGAACATATACAACAAAAATGTACCCCTGACCATTAAACTCATTCCAGTTGATAAAGATGAGTGGACACCAGTGGAAACAAGACAATACCCACAGATTCCAGATCATAAAAGCAAATTCCTCCGAGTCTAGTGACTCTTCTCTTTGGGTTTTTCATCGTACGACACTCCATATTCGTTTACTCTTGTTTTGTCCACAGGGTAGAGCCTGGTGAAAGAAACGCAGAGTTTTAACTCTCAAAAAATGTGCACGTTTTTAACAAATGTGCTACGTGTAATGTAGTGTGCATGTACCATCTCTGGTAAAGGTAGATGAGAAACACCACATCATCTCTGAAACAGGCCAGTCTGTGAGACGTTGGCATGGTGATGATGAAGGCAAACACGTCATCGATGAAGGTATTGAATGCCTGTTAACATGAAAGAAGCCCATGAACATTCTCAAAAGATAGAAAAAAAAAAAAAGTAGTCATCGTTTGTAGGGGTGATCAGTTATTCTGACAAATTACATCGGCTCTTGAACATTAAAAAAAAAAATAGATACACTTTCTTTCAAATTTATAAGTGAGAGTTCTTTAGTAATTAAATCACTGTCCAACATTATTATATGTAAAGTTAAAAGTTGTAAAAACAGTATGAAAGATGTAGGCCTCAGTCACACCGGCTTAGAGACCAGTCAGTCACTCCCCGCCAATCTCTGGTTGCTAGGGAAATATGTGCATTCTTAGACTGGTTGACAAGTGAAAGAGGGTGCTGCACCAAAAAAGAAAATCTCCTTGTGATTGCCGGTATAATACTACGATCATCCAGTTTGAATTGAGAAAGCCGACTCGTCTGTAAACACTGCTTGATTGCAATCTACTCAGTGAGCACGATAGTAAAAAACATGATGCAAACTGGAAATGCAGAATATTCTCCTTCAAAATAAAAGTGCTGCAAACAACAGCATTCCAAAAGCTCACTTATTTATTTTAGGCAAATTGCCTCGATTTCTATTTACGTCAAAGTTTCGCTACCCTTCGGAGAGAAGTTGGCAAGTGCGTGCAGACAAGTGGACGTCTTCCGTGCAAACTACAGGCGACCGTGCCATCCGCCTTGAGATCAAAACCATTAAAACGGGATTTTTGCAGCACCCTCCTTTTGGCCGATTTTATCTAGTGACTGCCAGCAACCACTCGCAGAACACGCATTTTCCTTAGGTTACCAATCAGTCTCTCAGCCTGTGTTACTGAGGCCTTACCATCAATTTGCTAAACCACTCAGAAAACAACAGGAAATTTATTTTTTACCTTATACATGAAGGCTTTCCAGGGCAAGTGGGCAACAGACTTCAGCTGTTAAATAAAGAACAGAGCTGAATAATCAGTCATGAACACTGTGCTGTTTTGTTATGGTAAATAAACTGCAGTTTGCACACTGTGGCATTTTATTGTTAGGTTGTAATGTGTGCATTTATTACACAGATTGTGTGGGTTACTGATTCTTGTGAATCAGTAACTTCAAAGTAAAACTGACCTTATAGTTGACAAATAGCTGAGGAAGCATGAAGAGGAACCCGAATGCATAAACACCTATAAAGTGAAGAAAAACACATGAGAATTTATTATGACTGTTATGGACAGAAGTATTGTGTGCGTGCTAAGAGTATAGAGCACCTTACCGTTCACCAAGCTGTTAATCAGCCACGAGTACCAACTACAACAGAAAGATACACAATCAAAATGAGTGATGACCTGTCAGACTGAGTCAATCAGTATCCCGTTATTGTTACTTACACATACGCAGAGTCCTACCTCTTATATCGTAAAAATATTAGTGCATACACTGCCCCTCCGATACACAGTGGGTAAAGGAGGTATGAGAGATACTTCATGGCCTACAGAAAAATAAATAAAGAGGCAATCAGCGTAAGTGCTCATATCGCAAAGAAACAACTGATAATTAATTGTCGCGTGCCCTACCAGGGTATCATATTCTTCCGTTCTCCTCTCAGATTCATCTAACTTTCCAAACTGTAACAGAACAGAAACACTCATTAGCACACTCGAACACACAGAAATTAAGGAAAAATGCCGACAAGGACGATTATAAACTCAAGCGCCTCGATGTAGCGTTTTACATTTATAAGAAAGGATTGTCGTGTTTTCTATTAAGCATGTATTATCCTGCCTACAATGCTGCGTGAACATTTATCTTTTTTATTTATTAACATGGCTAAAGTTCCATTATCTGCTCTGTGCTTTGTCAAAGGACAGTAATTTAATTGAATACAAATATTATTACAGCAGAAAGCACCATAAGAGAATAAAACCAGCAGATAAAAAAGCAGCAGTTAGAGAAAAATGGTACTTTGAGTCAACATGTCAGATAATCTAAGAGCGAGTCGGATGTTCTAGCACAGGCTGTGTAAGACTGGTCTCTACTCCTTAACCCAGAGCCTTCCTGGCATAGGAAATAACTGGATGCGTATATGTTGTACTTTTATTTAAATATCTATTTAAACATATGGAATTACAGTGTATAAGGCAAAAAACAGAATGTACAGGTATGACCACCCTTATTCTTTAACACAGCCTGAACTCTTAGGCAAGATTTCTCATAATTTCTTTAAGTCGTTTTCAGATCCAGGCTTCTGGAAAGACATTTAAAGCTCTTAACTGACACTCAATGTTGTGCCCATCTCCTGACATCCTCAGCAAATAACCAGAAATTTGCGATTTGGATTCATCACACCTCAAGACCTTTTCTCCCAAGTTCCCTTAAAACTGGCTTCTTGACAGCAACTGTAGGTACATAAATTTTAGGTCTGCTCCAACTTCTTTTGCCTTTCATTTGGTCAGTTTCCTCAAGTTTTTTAAAGGACACACTGCACATCATGCTGAGATATGCCAAGTTTCTGGCTTATAGCACTTTGGGAATCACCTTGTTGGTGCAAAAATACAAATTTATTTGAGTTTATGTTAAACTGTGCTTGTGGTGTTTTGTATATTCGGCTAAAGACATGACAACAAATGACATGTTTTTGCAACATGCTGCTAGTAAGAAAGCGCCTAAAGATTAAAATTTAAATTGCTTCTTTGCCAAGTTGTCTGTTATGCGTCCACAAAACTGGTTCATCCTCTGAGGTGTCTTTTGCATGCTTGAATGATCGTTGAGCTCAGTGTTAAAAACAAATTAAGATTCATAGATTCATCTGAAAATGTTTTTTCCCCCCCCTTCTGAAATGTTCAGGTTCAGGTTTGGGCTGGACTGAAAATTAGTGGAAAAGTAGCCAATGTCCAAACTTTCAAAGAGCTCCAAAAAGCCTGGAGAACTGTTGCTCAAGCCTTAAAAAAAAAAAAAAAAAAATCCAAGTGCAGCTAAAGAGTTGCTAAAGACTTTTATACAACACTGTGTACTGCACAGCATTTTAAAGCAGGCATGCTCAATTTCGTGTGTATAATTGTGTAGCCACCTCCCAAAGGCCCAGTCTATACCAACAAAGACGTAGATACGTGGCTGATAACAGAAAAAAAAAAGATTACAGATAAAGACACATGCACACATACCAGGAATGTGGGTTTGCCTCCTTTCCAGAAAACTTGAATCTTAAAGGCTTTCTTCACTTTCCAAACCTTAAAAAAAAAAAAAAGAAAAGAAACATTATTACATATTACAGATCACGTAATCACCTTTTAATCAAATCTGAAGTGGGAATAAATGGTCATTTTGTGTGTGTTTAAATTCATTTTTAATTGCGCGCGTGTGTTTACTTCAATCATAGAGCCGATCCCTGCAGGTATGAGGACAAGCAGACTGGTCTGCTCGTCAAGCAAATAGAGGAAAATCACTATGGTACTGAAACAGCGCCACAGCACTGAAATAGAAGCAAACAACAGAAAATGTGAGATAGTAAATGGCTCTCCCAAACTGACACTGATGACCGATCATTTGGTTCAGCTCGAGTCTCTTGATAACACTTTATCCCACATGTTTTAAAAGCCTTTTGTGTAATCTTACAACACTGGGAAACATTTGTAGGGTTATATAGTTACACTGTGTTTTTTGTTGTTTTTTCTCAGCTGCCACTTCTCTAAAAACCCATAAATCAGAGGTCCCACAGTGCCGGTTCTGTGGATCTGTCACTGCAAAGCCAAAATGATTCAAAAACTATTAAGTTACAAGCGCTCTCTCTTATAATCCTTGTGGGTGAAATATTGCTGGCCAACCAGCAGATTCAGAATATGAAAAAAATATTGTAGATTCACCTGTTCTGCACATTTGTCAAAGCCTTATTACAGGGTGACATTCACACTCTACTAGGAGCAGTTTATTTAGCCACTAACCACAAATGTATTCATGGTGATTCTTTATGCCCATATAAACTGTATAAACTGGATTTTGAAGGGGTTTGGTGAGAAGGTGAAACAGTGCCGTGAAGCTAACAAACCTGCTTTGCTGGACATTCCCACCATACTTTTCTTCTGCTTCCAGAAGCTGATGTCATTTTTGAAGGCCAGAAAGTCAAAGAGGAGCTGAAAGAGCATTCAGAGTTAAGACTGGCATCTTTATTTGACCTTAAAATGACCCAGTTAGGTGACTTATTACCCCAAGCTTTACTTATATGTGATATTTTGTAATGATAAAAATGTTTCCTACTGTGAACTAAAATGAACAGCTCACTTAAGGATTCAAAGTACACTCTAAAAGTCTGCAGCCACACTCACGTGGAAAGCCGCTACAAAGAAAGTCAGGGCCAGGAAATACAGGTTGGTATCCACGAAGATCCCTTTAATCTCATCAGCATCCTTCTCTGTGAACCCTGCAAAAACAGATACAGAAAACCGCACTGCATTTAGGTGTGTAGACATGATGAGGAAACCTGGCTGAAGCTCGATCTGAAGGATGCAGATAGACTAAATGCACCGCACTGTGCAATCATACATCACTTATAGTAGGAGGTGAACTTCGAACTTTGCGTTCGCACAGGATGCTCGATCAGGTAATGTCTAGAAAAGTTCAGGGCTGCAGTGAACGTGTGAAGTAAAGCAAGCAGGAAGATTAGCATACCGAACTGCTGCAGAGAGTAAACGGCGTCTTGCATGTGGATCCAGAATCGAAGTCTGCCCAGAGAGATTGAGTCGTAGGAGATGATCAGAGGAAGTTCTGTAGTGGTACTGTTGATCTCCTACACACAAAAACATGGGAAAATTTTTTTTTTTCAACGTTTCCTATAACGTGCTTCTCAGCCATGCATTCACTAACACATCATTATTGTGGCTTCATAAACTCATTGTCCTCTAACCAGGTTCCGTGAGCAAATACAATGAATAGAAAAAAAGCATTGCATTTGAAAATCTGCCACTGGGACTACCTGACAGGGAGTTGCAGTCTGTTGCATAATATTTATTTAAAATCGAAAACTTACCACGAGGTCCTTGACCCGGTTGCTGAGCTCATCAACAAACAGCAGAGGTAGATACACCACCTTCTTCCCATTCTGAAACCTGGAACACATACAGATAAAACATTTTATGGAACTCTTTGATCGTCACGACAAGCCTGTAATCCGTTAAAAGTACAGCTAGTACAGCTCAAAGCATCCTTTCTTTTTCTCGCCTCCACTATTGAAATGCTCTTTATGTCGGCATCGGTCATGGCCCACTTCACCGGTTGCGGCTGAATCAGAAAACAACTGCCTGGATTAGAATAGGCACTTTTTAACCCTTTACATGCCACACCCCTTTTGGCTATTTCTAGGTCTTGGCTAATAAATTAAAGTGGCTGGGCCTTAGGTTAGAGCTCCCAAACTGTGGACCTCTTTTAAACCTCTTCTTTAAAAACAACAACAACAAAAAAAACAACAACTTGGATATGTATTTCCTCTCATAGTGCCGTTTGTGTTTGTGTAGCCGCCATCTTACACTCTGAGGTATCTGTGGACATCATTTGGGAGGTATTCTCTGTCAAAGAGGAAGTGGTCACCGACAATGTTGACAGTGAGGCGGGAGCGCCAGTGTGAAACTGGATGGTCTGACACAGAGGTGGCTCCAGCTCTGGCTCCGCCCCCTGTCGCTGCATCATGCAGCTTCTTCTGCTGGCCTTCTTTCTGACCCTGCGCGAGTGCAAAGGCAGGATAGGAGTTTAGTGATCTGATTAAAGGTTGATAAAACAGCACAATTCTTCTGCATATCTGAGGATCTTTTTAAAGAAAAACTACATAGCTGTTAACTTTCTGTGTGTTGACTTTCAGTATGGTACCTTTGTTTTATCTTCCCCAGATATCAGAGAGATTTCAGGCGGTTTAGGGACCATGTACGTGGTGAGCTGAGCAACCAAGTGAACTTGTCGTGGATCGTGCCACGGATCGTGGGCAGCTTGATGGACAAATATTAGTGCGTATAGAGTTCCATTATTACGGGTTTTCTTAGGTAGGGAGACGTTGATTGTCCTGTGGGAAACATGGAAAAGAAAGAAACGAAATTTAAAACAGAACTTAAAAAAGAAATCCGTTTTTCAGAATGCTTCAATCAAATCTCCGTGTAACACCGTGTCATACCACAAGGGGCTGCGCATTCAATTCAGTGTCTGTTTCTATCTCATAGGTTTTACTTCTGTTAAGATAATAAATGTGAATCTCTTAACCCCTCCCCAAACAACCAACCTTTCAAACTTGCTGTTGACATCAAAGTTCTCCTCTTTGTGGATCAGAGTATGGCCTCCTTCTGCGTTCGACCGCAGTGTGGTGTAGATGCTCAGCTAACGAACAAAGATGAACATGTCAGGCATCCGCATCAAAGAAAGAAACCAGACTCATGCATGACCGGTGCGACCATCCTTGCTCACAACTGACCTGCAGTTTGGGGTTCCCAGCCAGGAAGGGTGTGATGCAGTTGGCACCTTTGGGGTTGTTGCAGGGTTTGGTGTACACGATCCCGTACATCACCCAGCAGGTGTGGAGCACATAGACCACAAACACCCCCACGATCAGGGTGGTGAACGATGTTTTCAGAAACATGATGCTCGCGTCGTTTCTTCGTCTCCCTCGGCTAACTGAGCGGCAGGGCCATATGTCTGCAAATGAGGCATTGCATTCGATTTAAGTATGAAGCTCAAAACTCAATTCATTTTAAACGCCAATTAGGGATCAGACAATTGTCTCAATCACCTGACTTGTCACTTGTCTCAGATTAGTCTTAGAAAGAAAAAATAAATTAAGATAAAGAGTTTATTTGCCAATCGTTTTAATGAATATGGGATACAGCTGGTCAGGAACAGTTGCCAAAACTTGCTCTTCCAGTTTTATCCCGGTTGTACCACACAAACAAGTAGGGTTGCCAACCGTCCCTTGAAAAACAGAATCGTTCCGTATTTAGAAGCAAAAGTATTGAGCTGAAAAGGGACGCACTTTGTCAAAAGGTTAAAAAAATAATTTCACACACCAAAAAAAAAGAGCTAAAAAAAATTCCTCACACTGGGAAGGGTGAAGACAATCGGGTCGCCCAGCCCTGGCCGTGAGGTGTCCCTTATTTATTTTTCAGGGAGTTGGCAACCCTACAAACAAGTCATTAGCAGGATGAAAGGAGGCCCTCATATTTAGAGAGATTGAATGGCAGGTGATGTAGTGAACTGATCTGATACTGTCTGGAAAAATATATAGTACTACACATCTAAATAACAGAATCATTGTTAGCACACTGGAGACTCAGGTCTCCCACAGATTGTTTGGTTTACTTCTGCGTCAAGTTGCAGTAAACACCCGCACACCTGTTTTTTTTTTACTGATGGTAAAAGCATCAAACTGTCTGCTGCTCTTTAACCAACTCAAACTATGGTACACCTGCTGTCAGTTTTTCCCATATGGTCGGATCTGCATTTGCTTTTTCTGTGTGGGGATGATGTGCTACCTTGAACCCACAGCTTTAGTGACGCTAATCCTGAACGAATTCTGTTTCACTTGGCTTTTAAGTCACATAAAATAAGTAAACCCCCCATATTAACGTTACACATTACCGGTGTTTAAACTGGCAGGCTGTCGGTGACAGGACGCTCTCAGCTGGCTCACTGACTGCCCATCCGTCCATCCACTTTACAAACCCTGTCAGGCGACTCAAAGCGATCGCATCGCTTCTTCAGAACCGCGTAGTGCTTTCGCCTGAAGACATCTGCTGGACTCTGGGCTCGGTTCTGCTTTTAAGAAGAAAAGAAAGAGCTATATCCAGAAATGACTAACTGAAAGCGTGAGGTGGCTCTACATTTCCGCCATTCGCTTCCTTGTTAGTTTCTCCAGCGAGATTTGGGGAAGTGATGCCGCGAGATTTGACGTCACTGGCGCACTTGGAGCGGGAATAAATATCAATATCTCGTTTGAAATTATTTATCTACTTATTTAAAGGGGAAAAAAAAAAAATCAAGAAATCATCATTTTATTTGATGTAATTCCATTATTTGTATTCAGTGAATCTTGATCTTTCATGGAAAGTTGTCATTTTATTACAGATATTTATTTATTGTGCTTTTCTAGTTACAAAACCCTAACCACAGTTCACTACTCCATGGTCAAATAGGAAACTGCAGGTGTCTGAGAAATATTTTGAAGGAAGAAAAATATTTTTGGCTCCATGCACTGATATGTTTTACTCATGAGAGTTAAAATTCTTAAAGTCTTTATTAAACGCCCGAGAGAGTAACCTTGAACATCCGGGTATCTGATGAATCTCCGACCCCACTTTCTTGTACTCACTTGGAGCCCAAAAAGAGGAATTTCTGACTAGTACCTTTATTTTTTTACTTCTGTTATCACTGTTTTTGTTTAAATGTTAGAACAATGTGTTTTTGTTTTAAGTTTTGGTGGCCCCAAAGCTATAGAAAGAGCTAAGAGCAAAGTCCATGAACAGCAGCTTATTGCCAAGTTAATATGCAGTGTTACTGTTCTTTGAGGTCATTGCATGGTGCACCTTATGTAGTTTTGTCTTCAGTTATGAGTTATTTATGGCTAAAAAATCCTTGCACTCAGCAATTTTGGTTCCACAACAGGGAGTCCAATTGTAAAGAGCTGCATTCTTAAAAGCAAGCTGAAAGACACGTACTCACTTGGAGCCCTGGCTCACTGACTGCCCATCCGTCCATCCACTTTACAAACCCTGTCAGGCGACTTTCTGGGACTCTCCACCATTTGACCTCAGAACTGAAGAAGCTTCTCGGATGAGAAGTGAAACGTCTTCAAGTAACTTAAAGAAGTCCAGACGCTTTTCTTTGCAAGCTCCTTTGACTACGATGACCTGGATGATTGAGAACCTTCACAGACATACTCGTACAGATGTTACATTTGTAGATCCTTGCACAATATACCTTGTGCATTAATCCAACATCTTAATTTTTTTTCATGAGTTATACCCACCCACTTTCATTTATGAAAGTTAATTTGAAAATGAAAAGTTTTCCTTTAAGATGCAGAAGTTTCACATCCCATGAATAAACCAGCTACTCTCGGAAATGTGTATAAAGCTTTTTCCTGAAGGCAGATATTACAAATGTTAGCCATTATTCTCAAAATCTAAAAGTGCACTTGAAATTCAAGATTATTATAATGACTTCCAAACATCAAATCTACTAGGGTAAACAAAAAAAAAGACATTCACAAGATTGGATCTCTTTGTTTTACATTGCAGAATTTACCACCTAGTCTGAAAAACTGCCGTGACCCGGATTCGAACCGGGGTTGCTGCGGCCACAACGCAGAGTACTAACCACTATACGATCACGGCTTGCCACTGTCCGAACTGCTTTCGGGAGCCTTATCATCCACTCACAATGCAATCAATACATGGGTTTCAACACATAAACTAATAAGAATCTTTCAATCTTTCATTAATGCTCACGGATGTTAACGTGCATCAATAATTAAAGTTACAAGAAAAAAATGATGCCGTTGTATCTGCATCAGTCTGCTCGTCCTTTCCAATGAACGTAACATTTCCATAATAATAAAATCAACTGAACCAAAACTTGCTTTCATAAAACCTCTTTCTCTCGTTTAGCTCCTTAGCGCTAAACACTATCAACTATTTGAGTGTCCATATAATGTTTCTACATCTACAAGAATAAGCGAGAAAATGTAAGTTAAAGTCTAAATCTCGCACTATTTTTTTTAATCTAGAGAAAAGGCCAATCTAGATTTTTTTGATACTGCGCAAGCCTTTATATAGTCTATATAGGCACTGCAGAGAGGTCATTCCTGTTTTACTTCTTTGAAGTCCTTTCCACTGCCTGGGGCGCATGCGTTGTTGGTGCATTTCGGCATAAAATCTCTTACATCGGATTCTAGTGAGATTCGTGCCCTCACTGCCTGCCTGCTGATGAAATTTACATCTCTCGAACCCAAGCAGAACCGAGCGGGTATAAAAAAGCATTCACAATTAAGAAATGCTACTGTCAGCAAAGATCGCCCTTTTGCACTGCTCACGGGTGCATTTCGAACATTTGGATGACATTTTTTATTGTGCTCTGCAGTAGTAGAAAGTATACAAACATGCCCTGCTTTCAGCAGTGCGCACTCTTTATCTTTTCTTGGGAAATGAGAGAAAAACTGCCGTGACCCGGATTCGAACCGGGGTTGCTGCGGCCACAACGCAGAGTACTAACCACTATACGATCACGGCTTATTTGGCTGTCACGGAGAAAAAACACGGCATGACATATTTGTCCTCCAAATAAGACTTTAAAAAACACAAATTAATTCTGCACCTGTATTACTTTTTGTGTGCAGTCTTTGACCTGATGCTTCATGTCCACCCTGTCAGAGGACGTGTCCAGTGGGGAAATGGCTTCAAATTGACACAATCTTCAGCATCTCTCAGTTGCTGGCATTGTTTTGTGTGAGCCTCTTGCTGTTAAGAGGAGATATGAATTTCCTTTTCCATAGAGAGTCTGCAGTGACTGGGCTGTACTCATTCTCCCGCTTCCATTGTTACCATTCTACAAAAAAAGATCGGGTTTATCAAAGTTGCTTGAATTGCATATGAAATTACTTCTTGTCCTCCTCCTCATCCACTGCATCTTACCAGCACTCTTCCTCCTGTGCCACTCGGATTGTTTTCATCCGTTTGGAAATTGAACTTCAACTCAGCTGTGTTGCCTTTGCACTCTGAGCAGGCTTCTTTTGGTTTCAAGACCTCAAAAGAACAACTGTGGGCAATTTCGGATCTTTGTGTAAAAGCAATAGAATTTATTTTACAGCTTGTGTTGGTGAAACTGACATCTATGCATGCGGAGCGTGGTAATATTTCTGACAATGAAGGGACTGATTTAAACAACAGAGCTAGGACACAAAGAATTTATTTAGCTTTAGTCAAATATCCCTGCCACTACTTTGCCTCATCTCGGCAAACAATGTAGGGACACGCACCATACATTTTTCCTCACAGTTGTTGCCCACCTGGATCCCAAGCATCCCTGACCCAACTGGCCCAATTAAAACAGATATAAAACTGAGCTAGGGCCTGTTTATTGTAAGACTGTCTTCTCATTATCATGCAGAACTAACTGATTAACTCCCTAAACGCTAGGAAATCTTTTCCTGGATTTCTGTTCATTAAAACAGAGTTCATGCACCATTTACTTTAATTACATTTTCCACATGTGAGAATTTCACAGAGGTTGTGTGCTAAACAGTCAGAGCGAGAATGGTACCCTTGTCAGTGCAGGCTCATGGAGGGTTGCCTGAGGGTGAAACAATTCGAAAGCTAGCACCAATTTATCTTACATAACCTCAGGCAGGCAAAATACAAAAGCGATAAGTGATTTTATTTTTTCCTTCATGCCTTCGGTGTACCTCTGAAATAGTCTTAGTGCTCTGATGTAGCCATTTGTTTTTTGCCTTTTCTTTGACCAATTCTACAAAGGCCGCTGTGACATCTACCCTGTTTGTCTCTAAATGAGTTCGTGATCCCTACACTGTAATAATAAATGGGGTCAGGCTCCCTTATGATCAAGCTCTCCTGAATGTAACTTCATAAAATCGGGGTCTTATGAAGTCCTTGGCCCTCTTGGAAATTTCCTTCATCGCATGCACTACAGTCTCAGTCCTTGGCCCTTTGCAGTTAGCCTGAAGTATCTGCTGTGTAAATAGAGGATTACAATTTGTCTGAGAGGCCCTCTAACCTCATCAGGATATTGTATGTGGAATATATGAATTCTGGAAGTGCTCTGTGGGCAAATTTCCCAGCTGAACATCACTTCATAAATCTTCAGCTGGATATAATTAGACTTCCTGTATCCAGTGTGACCCTCACCTCATCTGCGGTGCATCTCTCCTCAGCTGAACTCTCTGTACACCAATGACTGCGCCTCTTGCTTGCGGCCTGCCACTTGGGTTACATTTGAAGTTATAAAAGATGACGTGTTAGATCACAGACTCCGTTGCACAAGACTTTGGTTGAATTAGCAACAGGTATTGTTACTAGTTCAACCCTTTACTAGAAGCTCTTCCCTTAATGATCTGTGCACTTGGTGAATTGCTAAGTTTGAGTTTAGTGGCCAGGAATTAGACCCCAAAGATCTGTTACTTTCATGTTGTTTGGACGGGCTGTTAGACCCAATAAAAACGTGTAATGCTTCTCCACAAGATTTGACGTTCACTGTGACATGAACAGTCTAAAAAATCAATGCCCACAATTTAGTCTTTCTGCAAATTAAGTATTTATTTAAGCATTTAATCTCAAAGCTTGTTGCAATGGATTGTCCCAGAATTGAACTGAGACTGAGGTCAAAACTCTACCTCAGTCTGATACAACAGTAAAATGTTGCATCAGTGCACCTTTATTAATAATCTAACTGATAATACTTTAATCTACTTTTCTTAACTCCCTATCTGCATCACGGCATTCCTGGAGCATATACCCATCATAAAGACAGGTTGCCACCTCATTGCGAGGCACTCAAAATAATATTTCACTTTTATTTAATTTTTCTCTTTAATACAAGTCTTCTACTTGACAGAGTATTATTGCAGTCTTAGAGAAAATATAAAATAAAGTATCTAAATGCTTACACCTGTGATGGAATCTAATATTTGGTGTTTCATCATTTAGTTTTATTTTGGGGACTCACTATTTTATTTTCTGACTGGTGCTCTGTAAAAAAGCGTGCTTGAACAGAAGCGATCTGTATTACAACAAGTTTCCCAGAGTAATGAAATACTTAGTGTGTGTTTCTGAGCCTCTGGGTGGAACAGTATGTCAGGCGCCATTTAAAATATATGACCGCGAGGGCAGAACTTTTCCCCTGATGCATTCCACACC